CCTACATGCAAATGCTAACCCTAACCCTAACCCAAAACCTACTAACCCTAACCCTAACCCTAAACTATAATCCTAAATGCTAACCCTCACTCTAGCACTGATCCTATTCCTAACCCTAACTGTAACCGTAACCCTGACTGTGAGCCCTAGCCCTAACCTCAACCGTACACCTAACTCTAACCCTAAAACACGAGGGCTACATCTACATTGGCATCCCTTTCCGGAAAAGGGATGCTAATGAGACGAGTCGGAATTGCAAATCCGCGGGGGATTTAAATATTCCCCGCGGCATTTGCATTTACATGGCTGCTGCTTTTTTCCAGCTTGGGGATAAGCCAGAGAAAAGCGCCAGTCTAGACGCAATTCTCTGGAAAATAAGCCCTTTTCCGGAGGATTTCTTATTCCTAACCTAATAATAAACCTCACTGTAAACAATAGCTCTAAGCCTAACCCTGGGCCCTTTCACTAACCGTAACCCCAACCCTATCTGTATCCCTAACTCTAATCCTGACCCCGTTCTTATACATAACCCTAACCCTAACTCTAATCCTATCACTAACCCGAACGCTAACACTAACTCAGTCTATATTGCTACCCCTAACCCTAACCCTATTTTCTGCTGGTCCTAGGCTCATAGGATAAAGGAAGCAAATGGAACTGTAGTCCCTTAACAATGGCCTGTATGCCGTAAGCACGCACAATCTGGCTGGGAAGGGAAGAGACATTCTGGTTAGCTAGACTTCAGCCAAATCAGTGGAAATATTTTAAACTTTCATTCTAATTGGCTGGATCCAGAGGTGGGTGGACTCCAGGAGCCAATCGAAACCTGAGAAGCAATAGCCACTATAAAACTCCTCCTGAACAGGAAAACAATCAAATCAAACCAAAACAACACACCAACAAACTAGCCAACATAGTAACAGGAGCCAAGTCAACTAAAACAACTGAATTTCGGACTATTTCTGGCTGAACAGGTGCTACACACCTACACATAGTCATCCAAACATTACACACCTATACCTGTGCACTCAAATCCTCCTACACTGCCATATGACGTGTGTGCTCCTGCCTACGTATGGTGCTGAACATTGTTGTTAATGACATTATGTTGACAGATGTCTACTGAATTAACAGCTCAAAGACACTTAATTGGTAACCTAATCTGTTTGCTCTATAAACAAAGGGCTTTTGTTATTAACCTGATGGTCTGTACATTAAATAAGAAATGAAGATTTCACAAGATGCCTCGTACTGACTTGACTTAACAAAGAAAAGCTACAAGCCCTGGAAGGAATTGGCGCAGCAGACCTCTATGAAGTTGAAAGTTTGACAGGAAAGTCACTCATACAACCCCCCATCCTCCCACCATAGTACATTCCACTTGCCAGTCAGATCTCTACAGACGCAGCCCAGCTCTATAAAACCAGCGTCAGCCAGTGACACCCCCACTGCAATCCTTCCACCTGGGGTCCCCTATAGTCTGGGGGGGACCTTGGAATTGGGGGCTGGATGTGGTCCCCAGCTTGTTTGGATCCAATTCCCAAAACTCAGGCCCTCCCAATGCATTGGGAAGCCCACACTGGCACTCCTCCCCCCGCCCACCCCACTGCTTTTCCTTGGGGCTGGAGCACACAAAATCGGCAAGCCTGGACCTCTGTATTCTCTGGTGTGTGAGGGGAATGTGGGGAGTTGTTAAGCAAACGTTGCAGCACTCCCTGCAGTTTGGGAACAAACACTAAACACCAATGAACCCACCCCTCTCCCTGAGCCAGGCCCCCCAGTCTTCCCATCCCAATACACTCACCCCTGCCTCAGAGCCAGGCTCCCCTAGCATCCCCCCTTCCCAGTGCATTCCCCCCTTCCCGTGAGGCAGGCATCCCCAGCGTCGGGAGCCCCCACTCCAATGAAATGTCCCCCTCCCGCTGAGCCAGGCACAGAGGAACAATCTGACTTTTCAAGTGGCTGCTCCTGCTGCCTGGCCCGGCTGCCTTGGCTCACATTGTGTAGAGGGAGGCATCACGTGGCCAGCTCCCGGTCTCTGCTGATCACGTGTGCTCTGCTCCCACCCCAGTCTGGTGCCCCCTTAGTGTGGCACTCCAAAAGTGCCCTCTCCTGCCTCCCTATGCTAGACTCTGCCACGCTTCTCACTCGCCTGCCCCTGCCAAATGCAGCAGGGGAATATTGTCCCCACCAGGCTTCCGTTCCAGGGAAACAGGACGGTATTTCACATATCCGGTAGTTCCTGTTTTTTTTTTTTACTGGACGGAGCCCGCAGATGTCCAAGTGAATATCGGACACCTGACAACCCGAAGGAGGAGGCAGAGCCCAGCCCGGGTTGGGTGGGAGGGAAGGGACTGGCCCTGTCCCCACTTACCTCATCTCCACTCCCTTGTGATTTGGTCATGCAAGAAAGGCCCCTCTGCCCTGGGTTTGGCCCAAGTTGGTTCGTGCTCCCTTGTCCAGCAATTTGCTGTGTGTCTCTTCTATAGAAGAGCTGAGACGCTGTGACCCACCCCAGCCCCAGGGTCAGGGCTCTCCTGCTGCGGAGATGCACTTATTAATTATTGTCAGGGATGCTGTGTGCTGAGGTGCCCTGTTGTCTGTTCCTCCAGGACTTACTGTGAGAGTGGCAACGTATGGACGGAGCCAACACTTGAAATCTGCCCTGGCTCCTCGGGGAGAAGCGTGTTTGTGAAAACTAGATACACTGCCCGCGGGAGTGTGGGGGCGCTGAGCTATGAGTCCGATACCTTCACCCTGGCCATCATGTTCTCCAACCCCTTTGACTACAATTTGTACAGCATCACGTTTGCTCTTGAACTCTGCAGTGGCAGGGAGCACTTCGAAAGCATGAAGCGCCTCTACAGCTATATGTACGACGGTGGCCCGCCCTACCAGTGCAACTCCTTCAAGAAAGCGGTGCTCCAGGGGTGGAGTACTAGGGAACTGAGGGTTCACAACCAGAAGATAGAGGTGAAAGCCACCATGACCAGCAACTATAAGTCCTACATTAAAGTGCAGATTGAGCAAAAATAATCCAAGCCCGCCCTAGCTATGCACTCAGCCCAGGGAAATGCCCCCATGTGACAGACCAGGATGCAGGGGAAGTAAGGACTTTCTTTCTCCCAACCTGCATAGACAGTGATGTGCTAGCTCTGCTCACATGAGGCCACTAAAAAAAGGCCAGAGTGGTGTGGGCGGTGGGAAGAGCTAGCCAGCCAAGCAGGGCCAGCCCACAACATTTTGGACCTGAGGCAGGGAGCTCAAATGATGCCCCCATGGCCCCTCACTTGGGCCAAAACTTTGAAAGGTCTCTTGTGCCCTCCTTCCTCCAGCACAGCACAGCACAGCACAGCACAGCACTCCAGCATCTCTGTGCATGTACAGCAGAAAGAATACATATGCACCAGCAGCGGACACAATTTTCCACACTCTGGGTCCTAGTGTCATCCTCTCTTGGCCCCGCCCCCCTCAAATCTGGCACCTCAGGTGGCCACCTCAGTTCATCTCCTGGCGAGGCCAGCCCTGCACCAAGTACCATCTTCCCGATCTCTTGGGTTTGCACTCGGTGGCTAGCCTGAACTGCTCTTTTTTGGCACTAGTACATGTCTGTCTCCTCAGTGTGGGGGTATCTGGGCATGCAGGATTATAAAGAAGGTATTTTTTTTCTGCTTATTTCCTAATCTCAGAAATAGTAGGTGTTGGCATATGAAGGCCTGAAGCTTCAGCATTTATCTTGGTGATAAAGCTTTGCAAAAAGTCATGCTAAAAAGATAACAGAATTTTTAAAAAATAAATGTTGAAGAGCTTGACCTTTTGGTGGAATATATTGAAGAGCTTGACCTTTTGGTGTATCTGTGTAAGGTTGCTATTGATTGCATGTGTGCTTACGAGGAAAACTAGAATTGGCTAAGCAACTTGAATGGCAAGTTATAAACACACAAGGAAAGGGTAGGTGCAGAAGATCATAACACAAGAATGTGAGAATGGCCCTACTGGGGCTGCCCAATTGCCCACTGTGACGGACTGGGCCGTGTCTGGGCACAGCTGAGGGCATCCGCTCAGGGCGAATTGCTCGAATCCGGGGCTCCTTACAGCCCCCAGACTGGTGACCTCTCCACACAGGCCACAAACCAGTCCCACAGAGCACTTCAGCAACCTGCCTGAAGCCTCCTGAGCAAAACCCCGTATTTAAGTCGTTCTTGAGCCCTATCGGAACTTTGGCCTTTGCAATATGCCCAGTAATATGTTTCACAGGTGGACTATGCGCTGTGTGAAGAAATACGTCCTTTGGTCTGTTATAAACCTGCTCCTTTGAATGTCATTTGGTGACCCCTAGTTCTTTTGTTAGGAAAACGTAGCAACCTCCTTATTCCCTAAATACACTTCCCTATTTGCTGTCTCTGCACCATTCAAGACTTTATAGCCTTCTGTCATACCCCAGCAGGTCTGTGCGCCTGTATTCGCCCCTTTCATCACACGGCTGTAATCATTTGTGTACAAAATTTGAAAAGTCCTAACTCACTAAACAATATTTTTCTGAAAAAACATGTGTAGCAACATTAAAACATGTGCAGCGCACTGAGCTTACTGCGGTTTGGCAGCCCTGCTCAGCCAGTGGCTCCACACCTGGGTCTGTCCCTGCAGCCTCCTCCACCACGGATCCCCTCTGCTGCCAGTCCTGGCTCTGGTGCTGCAGGCTGCTACCCTGCAGGCAATCCCTGAGCTGAGGTTTGGGGAATAGACAGCGTGTAAGCCTAGGGGAGGAAGGGCCCCAAGTAACCTTAATCTACCTCTGGCTGTAGAGTAGGGATGGAGCACAAGGGTAGAGTGACCAGATTCCCCAAAGGGAAAATGGGGAAAGCTCTGTGGGCTTGTCGGAGGCTATGGGTGTCCGGCTGCGAGCCCAGCAGCAGAGCATTTAAGACACCCGGAGTTACAGGGCAGGCGATGACACAACACCTCACTCCCAGAACATGCACCTCTCCCTGTAGAGCGGTGCCGGTAAGGTTCAGGGAGGTGTCACAGGCCGAGGGAGCGAGCTGCAGTGGCTGGAGGCTGACCCTGGAGGTGCTCCCTGTGGCAATAAGAGGCCAGGCTGATTATGGAACCTGGTGGGAGGGAGGGCAAGGGCATGGCAGGTAGCACTGGCATGAAATGCCCAAGCCAGGCAACGCTCCTCAGCCTGGTCCATCCTGCCAGGCCGGAGCCATTCCCTCCCATAGGCTGTGTGAACCACGGCAGCCAGCCACTCCCAGCAACTCAGCCCTGGCTCCTCGTGGTCTCCTGGATGCTTTATTCCCACTGTTCAATCCCAGGGCGCATCCCAGGGGAACGCCCCCAGGAGGCCTCCCATGCGGTCCCGGTAGATCCCGTCGAAGGCCTTGCTCTGCGCCGCTGTGAAATGGTTCTTCCAGTCCCCACAGATGCCTGTGGAAGGCGAGTGGCGCTGCTCAGGATTCGCACCATGGCCATCGACGGGGCTGGGACTCGCCTCCCACCCTGCAGATCGCGGGGCGCTTGCTGCTGCAAGGGGGGTTGAGCCCACCCTGCTCCCAGTGCGCAATCCTGGCTCTGCCCCCGGCTCATCCCCCACAAGGGCTCGATGGCATCTGTGAAGCTCCCCAATGATGGGGCTGGCTGTCAGCAGCCTCCTCACTATAACTTTGGGAGTGGAGGGGGGGCAGATCCATGCTCCCAGAAGCCTTGTTGGGCATTGCCCCAGGGTGCCCATCTCCTCACCCTTCCTCAGGAAGGTGCCCTTCTCCTGATCCATGATGTCCGCGGGGAGCAGTGTCGAGTTGCACATCTGGTTCTCCCGCATGGCCCTGAAGGAGGCGTTCTCCACCACCGCCGTGAGGGCTCCCTCATCCAGCGCCTGCCCCAGGACCTGGCAGAGTCGCTGCACGCTGCCCCGCAGGTCCTAGGGGAAATAACGCCCTAAGAAACCAGGGTATGTCTACACTACAGCACTAATTCGAACTAACTTAATTCGAACTAAGCTAATTGGAACTAGTGCATCTAGACCTAAAAACTAGTTCGAATTAGCGTTTTGCTATTTCGAACTAGCATGTCCACATTAAGTGGACCCTGAACCGAGGTTAAGGAAAGAGGACAATTTCTCTACCTGGATGGTGTCTGATCTGAAACACAGACGTCAGTGGGATAGGCGCGGAGGCAGCCCACCCCTCACTCCCACTGGTTCCCATAGCACCCACTGAATTACATCCCGGGAAAGGGGGAGTCTTATGCTTAAACTCTCAGAGAAAAAGTCATTGTAAATCAAGCAATTAAGGTCTCAGCCTTCAACATTCTTCTAGTACTTTATCTTTCCCTGCTTAGGCCTTTTGCTAAACTTACTAAGCGTTAGGACAAAGGGATATACATTTAACTAAAAGGACTTAATATAATAATATGTTACCTTAGATTGCTACATCATTCAACTACATTGCCACCTTATTGAACCTAAAATATAAATATAAAAAGAACAATACTTCCAGTCCCAACTAATCAGCTCCCCCGACACCACTTCAGTTACTCCTGATTTCCCCGGGGGATCTGGTCGACTGACTCCTCTGCAGCTCCGGCCAGTCTGCACTGGCGAGGGACGTGCCTGGCTCCCTGTACCTGCTGCAGCTCTTCGTACGTCGTGAAGAAGAAATTGTCCTTGCCCTTCATTTCCATCCAGCCTCTCACATGGTTAAACCAGGACCCATGGGGCACTGCCGGGGCAAAGAGCAGAGCAGGGTGGGGCTGTGAGCGCCAGCCAGAGACTATCCGCAGAGGGGACTCTCCCAAGGGGCAGGAGCTGCATGGAGCAGGGAACGTTCCTGCAGGAAGGACCCTGGAGGGGTCACTGTTTCCATCCCTCTGAGTCACTCTAGACTCACCCGGGCAGGGGTCTGTCCAGCCTGTTCTTGGAAACCTCCAATGACAAGAATCCTACAACCTGCCTAGGTCACCTGCCCCAGAGCTTAGGTGCCCTGGTTTTTCCTGCTTTCTAACCTACAACTCCTTTGGTGCACACTGAGCGGATTCCTTCCTGTCTTCCCCTTGGAGCAGAGGGAGAACAATTGATCCCCATGCTCTTTATAGCAACTTTCCCCACATTTGCAGACGGGTCTCCAGTCCCTGCTCAGCTTCCTCCTCCCCATGACCAGAGATGGCCGAGGTCCTGGAGCCTCACTCACCGTCCCCGCTCAGAAAGTCCCCCAAGAACTGCTCGAAGGACTCGGGGTCCTCGTACGAGCTGCACATCTTGGAGAAATAGAAGTAGGAGACCAGGACGTCCTTAGGGTTGCGGAGCGTGTAGATCACCTGGAGGGGAGTGCAGGCAGGGGTAGGGCCAGAGACGTGGGCTGGGGCGAGGGGCAATGCTGCTCAGTTATTACCCCTATGGGTCAGGGAGACCCTGAAGTGCCCAGCTAGCTTGTCTGTGGGCATCCAGCCACCGGTGAGCCAGGGAATCCCTCACGGCTCTATGGGGCAGGGTCAAGGAACTTGGAATTCAGGCACATGCTTAAGGCTTCCGTTTGCTGCATGTGCCTCAAACCCTGCTTCCTAGGGGTCTGCACCTTAGCCCCTGCATCTCCACCCCCTCCCCCCAGATATGCACCTTAGCCCCCGCATCCCCAGCTATACATCCTAGCCCTGCTCCTCTTGGGTCTGCACCATAACCCTGCCCCCCTGCTCTGCAAATAACACTGCTTCCCCTCCCCCACTCTGCAGCATTAGGGCTTATTTTGTTGCTGGTATCTTCTGATGTCCTTTGTGCATATCTCAAAAGGGGTTCTGAATTACAGAGGACTATAGATTTGTAATACAGACTGTGGCTGTATTACCTTTCCCGTCCTAGCCCTAGATTGATAGAGTTTAAATCCTGAAGGGAACGCTAGGTCATCTGATCTGACCTCCTCTACATAACATTAAAGCCATTAAACATAACATAAGCCATTACATTTTACATTAAACATAACATAAGCCAATAATTTGTATTTGGCTAAAGTGTATCATCCAAAAGGGCATTCTGGCCCTGCGGACAAGAGACTGCTTCCTGGAGGAAGGTCTGGGTGGGGCTAAGACTGAGGCTGGAAACTGGGGCCATGCACAGTGCCTGTAGGAGAGCAGTGCAGCAGGGATGGATGTTGAGCAGTAAGAGGGGGCAGAAGGAGGTAGGCCCCTATTCCTCCTTCCCCTCTTCCCAAGGCACTGAATCCCTCCTGTGCTCAGGAAAGGCAAGGGGGGCAATTGCTCAGACGCCTGGGCCATTTAAAGGGACCTGGGTGCTCCAGCCAAGCAGGAACAATTCAAGTACTTCCTGACTGATTAGTGGGCAACAAATTGTTCAGGCTTCACCCTAGCTGTGCAGAGAAGGGGGTTGTAGCGTTGCCAGGGTGTCCCCCTGCCTGCGTACCCCATCTCTTACAAGGGGAGAAGGTATAGACACAGCCACTCAGGAGGACTCAAGTTGGATGGAGCTTACTGCATGCAGTCCAGGGTGAGCTGTGTGAGTGTCTTCTTGCCTGGCTTGATTTACCCAGCAGCCAGCTCACATTCTCTCTGTCCTGTCTTGTCTATCTCCCACCACCCCCACACACACTGTCCTGTCTTTGTGCATCTCACACATAGACACAAAAACACAGTCTGGCTTATCTGTCTGTCTCTCTCTCTGGGCAGGTGTAGACTACACTCTTTTATCAAAAATATGGTGCCAACTGCAGCGGCATCCCCATAGGGTGATTGATCCGTTTGGGTGTTTGTTTGAAAAGAACTAGGTGTTGACCACCTGCATCTTACAGTTGACCCCCTCCCGAGCGCATAATGGAGGTCAACAAGATCATAGAATGGCTGGTAGACAACCAGAAGCAGCAACAGCAGCATCAGAATCAGGTGTTGCGGGACATGATGACCCAATTCCAGGACCAGCAGCGGCAAATGCTGAAAGAAATCAGAGAAGGGGCGACTGCCCGAGGAACCGCGCCTGGAGCAGAGCCGGGCTCCCCAGGAGATGGAGAGGGTGGCGCCATCCCGGGCGCCGAATTAGCGCTGTAGTGTAGACATACCCTTAGTCTCCAACAGGGGTCAGCAAAAATTTTTGCCCGGGGGCCACTTCAAAAATTTTCGACGTAGCCCCTGGCCACCCAAGAAGGGGTGGGGCCTAAACGGGAAGGGGCGGAGCCGAAACGGGAAGGAGAGAGGCCCCAGATCATGATTGGTCTGGGGTTGAGGGAGCCCCTTTGCCTCCTCTTCCCACTGGGCACCCATGCCCTAGAAGAGGCTTGGCATGCTCCCCCACTCCCAGGCAAATCAGGGCCTCGGGGCAGGGCAGCACAGGAAGCCTCCTCCTGCCCTGTGAGGAGCACATGGCACTTTGAAGTGCTGCAGGCTCCTCGCATGGCCAGGGCAGGGAGAAGGAAGCTTAACGCAGCTCTGCTGCTCCCAGGCCTCAATTGGCTTGGGGGCGGGGCAGTAGCAGGCCTCCACGGGCTGGATCCACCTGCTTTGCAAGCCAGATTTGGCCTGTTGAGGCCCTTTGGCCTACCCTGGTCTATAAGGCTGTGTCTAGACTACATGCCTCTGTCGGCAGAGGCATGTAGATTGGACACATAGGCAAAGGCAAATGAAGCCGCGATTTAAATGATCGCGGCTTCATTTAAATTTACATGGCTGCCGCGCTGAGCCGACAAACAGCTGATCAGC